TGAGTTGAATTACTGAAATAAATGAACTTTTCCACGACATTCTAATTTATTGAGATGCACCTGTATATGTATTTTTCAGTTAATCAGTTTGCTTGATAAAAGAGGTTTAATGAAAATATATGCCATTAATAATTAACAATTATGTAAAAAACATTTCTGTAATATTAAAACAAAAGCAAGGCACTTAAGGTCATTACAATGCCCTTTAGCCTCCTCTATTGAAACTATAGTCAAGTCAAGTCAAGTCACCTTTATTTATATAGCGCTTTTAACAATACAGATTGTGTCAAAGCAACTGATTGGGTGAGAGTGATCTAATGTTTAGGAGCCCAAACTTTAAAAATGTTAAACTATAGTATATCCTCCTGTGCTTATTTCTGAACTGAACTTTTTTTTTTTCTTCTCTTAGAATCTACATGTGTCTGTGTGCATGTCTGCTGCACACCTATACTGGCCTATCTTTTTCCATTCCTGTCTCTCTTTCATTCATATCACAATCATCACTCTTTCCACTGGATCACAGACAAATCTATGAAATGAGCACAGAACTGAAGTATGTAGATACTCTGCTTGTTGATGGAAACAATGAATGCTTTTGACAGATGAAGGGAGAGAGACAGACAGAAGGTGCTATCAGAAGAATGATCTAATACGTATTGGAATCTGTCATGTGGTGTCGACCAAAGCCTATCTTACAGGAGGAAAGCTTAGAAAAACAGACCGCCCTCTGATTCAACCATGAAGGAAACCAGCAATTACTGGTGCTTTAACTAGCAGTCTCTCTGACTCCCTCTCTTTTTCTTTACAATAGAAAATAAAAACTTGGACACATGAGGTAGAGGTAGTTTGAAATGTCAGAAGCTTTCGGTGTCTAGAGATGATCAAATGAACTGAGAGACACTCCATGCAGGGTCCCCAACATTTGATGATTTGAAAGTTTTGAATGTTGAAAGATTAAAAGATTTTTTCTTATGAGTTTAGGTAGATAGTAAGATCATTTGCGTTATTTCTCACTCATCTGTTTTCTTTTCTTTTTATCTAAATGATTGAGTTACATAAAATGAGTCCACTTACACGTCTTTCTTATTCTTGGTCTTTCTCACAGAGGTCCAGACAACAACAAGAAGTTAAAAAATGTAAGTAAAATCTTCAGTGCCATGCCACTGTGTATATATGTATCACAAAGGCTGCTTTATGTGTATCAGTAGAAACGTAATAATTTGTAGCATAAATATATTTTTGAGCTAATTACTCAAAAAAAAAGTTGCTCCAACTAATGGATTTGTGGGCATGAAACCAATTAATCTTATCTTTTTCAGTTAAAATCAACAGCTAGCTTACATATAATGAAAAGTAAGATATTACTTGTCACTGGCATTAGTACAGTCATTGCACAAAAAGTCAAATGAAAGTTGTTTTAAGAAAGTCAGTTAACACAGAAATTTGTGTTTACATTACATTTTCATGATCAGCATTATTATGTCAACAGAATTTATCAAAATTATCTCAGAACTCATTATGTTGGCAACTTCAAAGGTTTGATTACATTTTTAACTTGCACAATTACATTAATGTATTCTATACACTAGGACTAGGTAAATCAAATGGGCGTCTTATTTAAGCTAGAACAGTTAACACAAAATGATGAAACGCCCCCTTTCCTTTGTTTTTCTGGAACAATAACAGGATTATTCTCAACAAATATATGATTATAGACCACTGAATGACAACACATATGATTGAAGAACACCACTGCTTTTTTTGCGATGATTTGTGATCATGAAGTTCGGTGTCAATAAGGGGTATTATCATAAATATTATACAATACTTTCACTGTAGGATTCAGATTGGCTCTTTATTTTAGTGCCACTACAGATGCTCTGTATATGGAGGGCTGAGTGGAATATTCACATATAAAACTGAGTGAAATATTCTAACAGATCCAAAAGTGCTGGAACAGCCCAAAAATTACATCATATACTACCGTAGGTCGCTGCCATTTAAAAGTTTGGGGTTGGTAAGCTTGTTTTAATGTTTAAAGTCTTTTATGCCCTATAAGGCTCTCTAAGGCTGCATTTATTTGATTAAAAAATTCAGTAAAAATAGTAATATTATGAAATATGATTACAATGTAAAAGAACGGTTTTCTATTTGAATAATTTGAAAATATAATTTATTCCTCTTCAGTGTCATTTTATATTATAATCTTTATTTTTATTGTGATAATATTTCATATTTCATAATATAACTGTTCTTCTAATTCAGTGTAGTATTTGGTTGAACATAATTTAATTAGAAGTGGTCATAACTCAAAAATACTGATGCAGACTTTTACATTCATTGTTTTTTTAGAGTGTACATCACAGTATAGCACATTAGTTTCTGTGCGGCTTTTCTGTTTGTAAAGAAATAAAGGCACTTTGTTAATGAATGAATGAGCGTAAAGATAATAAGATACACTGACTGAGGAATATTTTGACTGTGTTCCTTTAGGTTTTGATCAACATCTACTGGCTGGGCCGAGCAGCCAATAGCAGCACCACATACAACGGGCCCACCCTGGACCTGCACAAGTTTGAGGAATTGCTGTCACAGATGAGAAAGGTAAAAACAAATCAAAACCACTTGCATTTATATCTGTTATTAACACTAGAAATGTGATTTTATATAATTGGTGGCATGTACAGAACAGAACATCAATCCGATAAATGTCAGCATATTTATTAGTTTGTCATGAATCCTCAAATCAGAGACCAGAATATCATAAAGTTTGAGAGTGGACTCTTGACTTGGACCACCCGGATTTTGACTTTTTCAGATTTTTGTTGCACAAAAAAAAAGAAAAAGAAAAAAAAAAGAATTTATGGTGGCTTTTCTAAAATATTGTGTTGATGTTTGCAGCATTTTTGTGTTGTTTTGCAGTGGGAACCCACCAGTAATTATTAATAATAATTTTTTGTAATTAGTATTAGTAACACGAAATGTGCAATTACTTGTAAATATTTTTGCGCTCTGGAGGCCTCTAAGAGCAGGGTTACCAGACGGGAGGCCTCCAGAGCGGGCGCCATGGTGGATCTGCCAGCTCCGGGTGCCATGGTGGAGTAGGGAACACAGGAGGCCATGGCGGAGTAGGGAAGACAGGAGGCCATGGCGGAATAGGGAACACAGGAGGACATGGTGGTACAGGCAGTTCCGGAGGTCAGGGTAAAGCAGCCTCTGAGGCCGCGACCCCAGCCCCCGCCTAGGCCTCTACAG